ACCCTCTTGATTTGTGTTTACACCACAGTAGAACTCTCTGGGTAATTTCAGCGAAAAGACCAGCAAGCAACTGATCAACAGCCAAAAATACGTGCAAGCTAATTATACTCATATATATATTAGAAACAACTCCTATTCTGCATTCGTTTCACGAATCCACGACTCAACTACCCATCATCATGTCTGCTCTGATTCAAATATTATCAGCCATTTGCAGCGCTAGATCGATCGAACGGGACTTTTATAAATTGACGTTGCTGAGCCGGTCACTTTTGTTGATCTCGTGCTTGTGTTAGCGACAGATAAACCACTAGTATGCATGAGACGAAGGAGCATCTTGTGTCGGCTCCTAGTTTTTGTCCATCCCCATGATTCACCACGGAGAGCTACGAGTAAAGTGCTGTTAGTGCAGGATGATCATGAAGTGGACGCACTCTGCACAGAAAGCCCTTTTTCAGCACCAAACTCTAGGGCCGCATGAGAAGCAAATGCATTCTTTCGAACTACAAGATAAAATAAAGTGAACTTAAAACCTTCGTTGGATTCGCATGGTCTGTACTGGTATAACCGATCAATGAAGCCGGTCTGCCAGTGAAGACATCATTAGTTGCTCGGGTTGTACTGATGCCCATTGGATGTGTTTTCCAACCTCAACGCACTAAAGATGTGATCTCGACCAATTAGAATGCTGTCCAGCTCAGAAAACAGATCAACATGATTGCCTTCTGGTCTTATGAAAAGTCACACATTCGGGATAATTTTTATGATGATGAATAATCAATGGTAGAAAACAAGAGCCGAAAATGAGATTGTTTTCAACCTCAGGATGCAGAGGGGTCGCTATGCCAGTTGTCATATACCTGACCAGTCATACAAGAAAAATGGTTGAAAACGAGTGACCTTTGCTCTGGTCCATTTGTTGTCGCTGCTTTTGGTCCGATGTAGGTGAATGGTATGAACCCAACTCAGTCTTTGGGCTAGCATGGAAAAATGGCAAATTCATGTGTTCATACGAAGGGGAACAAAATGATGGGAAAGAGTCGGACAGCAGAGATGAGGATGAACTTGAGTCCAACTGTTGATAACCAGGGGGCTTTGGCAAGGAGGTGAATGCGGCGGAAAGCAGAAATGCTTGCTTTTGAACCATCTCAAGGGATAGTTGTGAATAGCACGGTTCGGCACATTGTCTAGTTGATGCATCACCAAAATTCGGAGTTTTTGGGGTGAATAAACTCCGCGATTGTGTGTCCGAAACACTTGTACCGCACTGTTCAACGATTTGGACTGGTAGACTTGCTGTTCCCGATTCCAAGCACGTCGCGCCGAATTCAGCTTGGAGGGCTTTGTTTGACTGCAAATTCAATATGTGATGGTTCCGCGCTGCTGGACAAGAAGTAATAGGCAGGAACTACTTGTAAGTACATCAGAACTGCGCGTACTCAAATTCACAACACGACAAAGTCATTCTATTGCTTTAGGTTATGATACAATGATGGCGTTGATGATGACGATGATGCACAGTGAACCCACTTTTGATAGATTTTCATAAAAATCACCGCATCCCAAAACAAAATTGCGTTTCGGTTTTTGAAAATCACTCACGTCCCAAATATGGGGGAACCCTCGATCTAATGTGTGTGAATATACTCCAACCGTGTTCTCCATCCGCGTCCAGCTAACTGTTTTGGAAAGTTCCCAACCAACGGACATCCTCTGGCCAACGACTGATAAAACATTATTATTCGCTCACACTCAGCAAGTTCCATATTCAAATTCTGTACGTGTAATACTAAAATGACTTTTCAAATATTCTCCATCCAGAGAACGCTTTGTCCTTGGTCTTTCCGAGTTTCGCGTTGTGACCTTTACTGATCTGAAACCAAGGAGTTCTCTGTTTGTTTGGAACTCCTTGTTTCGTAGGGCTCTCCAACAACGCAATGATAAGGTCACCTCCATTGGTGATGAAACGTTTGCAATTGCCCAACTCAGGTCACCTCCATTGGTGATGAAACGTTTGCAATCCAATTGCCCAACTCAGCGAACAAGCCAAACTACCTGAGCTACCAGCATCTTCCTCTGTAGAAAACGGCATATACTGTAAATACAATGCTCTGTGTCCTGGCTCTCCGGGAATTGATTGAAGGGCAATTTTTGGATTAAAGTAATGAACGCTACGTTGGAATATATCTGATCATGTTTTGAAATCCGTTTTTCAAACAGAAAAAATATTATGGGGCAGTAAGTAAACGATTGTAACACACGCCGATGTACAATACCCCCATATCATTAGTTACCCAATAGAAAAAACTTATCAGTTTGTAAGAATCCATTCAATAAAAGCCGATGGCTATAAAATTTTTGGTTGAAATTTTGGGGTTTTGCGAGATAGGTATGTTTGTTCATAGCCACACCACTCTCGTTTGGACGGCCGTGTTCCTGTTCTGGCGTAATTATTCCGGTGAGTCCACACCAAAGGGAAGCACTGGACTCGAGTTTCGCTCTTATTAAAGCTCATCAGTAGTGCATATAAAATTTCTATTTGCGACGTTATTATGCGCCGTTTACTCCGAAAGTTTGAGTGTAAGAATTCTACCAGTGCTGTGAGTAGACAACTGGACAGCACGATTTGAAAGGGTGTGAAACGGTGTCATTCCAAAACTACTCAACGTGTGACCTGTTTGATATAATCAGGCTCAGGGGGCATTGTTTAAAGTTGCCGAAACAAGCGGGTAGAGGCCAAATTTGTGTTCTGTCTTATCTCAACTATTTGATACCAAACATTCAGCTAATTAGAACCACAATTCGGGTGGTGTACAAAGGTCAAAAAGATCCGGAGCAATTGCCGAAACTATGATTATCCGGCTGTTTTGAGTAGAATTATATTCACCGAAATAGGCGTCACTAACATACCTAGGAGCCTCATCCACGTAACCCGTGACGTTTTGTGTTAAATGATTTTTCCTTAAATAATACACAGAACGCTCTACCCCTTCCCCCTCCAGCCGTCCAAATCGCTGTGTCCGTTTCAGTCTCATTAGGCCGAATACTATGCAACGGTCAGAAAGCGAACCACTTAAAAATGTATCTAACCAGCTTTGGCATTTCGACGGTCACCATGCCAGCCTTTGAGAGACAACGTATGGTAGTGTATAATACGTCTGCTGTGCCTTGATGATTTGGCGGGAAGGGGGTTACGAAATATAGTCTATCTGCTCACACAGTCGAGCAGGTGTCGAGAATTCGAATAAGTGTGCTGGTATCTATTCGGCCTCTGCCACTGAATTGAATTCAACAGACCTTGAGTGTGCCGGGTAAATACACTCTAAATCGGACCTTCTCGTTAATATCTTTTCACTTCCCATGGTGTCTTTTATAACCCATTACTTAAGAAAGGTATGTCCATTAACACACCGCCCATCATGTTACGAGCCAGCAATATCCAATATTTCGCTCACGAAGTTTAAGCAAATCACTACATTGGGCTTTTCTTGTTGTCATTACTGCATACTTCTGTGCTGACTGCTCATAAGACCTTTCTGAAAGTCGGCAATTATGCGTCTGCAAGCCCGACAATGGAGTTATCTGAAGGGACTGGATATGCCAGAAACATATCGTAAACCTTACCTCAACCTCATTTTGGGTCTGCGGTGCTGGCCAGAACTTGAGAATTGTTGCACGCGAAGTATCAGGATTCTAGAGTCAGCGCTACCAGGGCGTGGTCATTTCTCAGACGGTAATTAGGTCTCCATCAAAATTCCACAAAATTCTGTGAAGACATTACTGCAAGACAGAACAGTGACTCCTGGTGCTGCTGAATTGCAGTGCGGACAGTATAACCGTCACCGAAATCTGTGGAACGCTGCTGCACTACGCGTCACTCTTGGATGAGCACTGGCTAGAGAAACGAACTCCAACGGATATGATGGAAAAGGACGATGAGATCATCCCGGGATCTGAAGATATTACTGACAGCTCTGTTTTCACCACTCATCCTACTTTCTTGCAGTGTGAATATGGCTGTGCAAAGGCCGGTGATGCGTCCTCGAAAACAAGATGCGTGACGTTGAAGACGTCGTCTGCGTTCCTCCATTTATGTGCCTGGTCGTGTTTCTTGGGGCACCAGCGACTTGGGAAGTTCTTGGGGTACATACAGCTGTCTATCTAGAACTGCTATGTCAGATGTAGTTTACTGTATCGTCCATTCAGTCTGCGGAGTACAGACTCCAATACTAACTGCGACTTTTAGTCAACTCAGGGCATTTTAGTGTGATTCACATATAAAACGAATCCAATGTAAATATCCAACTTGAATTCTTGGGGGTAAGTCTTACATATGTCTTCTTGGTGAACAAAATAGTGTGTAAAGCCTCATCTGATCTCTGAGTAACTTCACACCCGTTACAAAATAAATACAGTGATGTTATAACAAGGTTGGACAAAAATTGAACTAAAATCGGGAGTTGGGGTGTCGGTCCAACCTCGCAGGTCCCAAACAGGATGTAGCGATAAACAACCAATGAATTACGGATATCATCGCAAAATTTTTCATTTTGCCTGCTTCTCTGATACGTAGACCTTTTACAAATGAATTTCACTGACTGATGTCATTCTTCATTCTACGCTAGTGACCCTCAAAAAATTTTAAAATTATTTTCGTAATATCTTTCCTCGTTCGGCTTAAACCAGGTACACTGTCTTTTTATTTGACTTTCACCAAATAAACGGCTTGTTTTTGGGCGAAAAGCTTCCGCGATTCACTGTTTCGTAGCGAAAATTTGCAGTTTAGCTAATGCAGTGACCTCCAGCTCTCCACACACACACCTCAGCTCATCATACCAGTGGTCCCCTATCACATGGATAGTGGAACTCATGCAATTCAGAGCATATCCCTCTTAAAAGAGATTACTATTATCAGGAGTACATTATAGTAGTTGCCTTCAGGTGTGACTGTCCCTGTAACCAACCTCAGAAAAACCTTAGTGATAATACTCTTAACTGTGGTGACCAGCAATCAGAGACAGATGTATGCAAAATTATAAAAGATGAGGATTTACGGAGAGGGATAATAGAAGCAATACTATTAGTAATAATGATAATAATATAGCCCGAAGTGGATGCCCAACAAGAAGTTTAAGATCTCATGTTTGAATAGTTGGATTCTGTCTTGACAGTTAGCAAAAAACATACTGGCGTCAGTGAAAACGGAAAACCCGTGGGCAGAAAAACGTTTTGTCCCGCCGATTAGTATAGCATTCATATATTTATTTGTCCAGCCAGTACAACCCAGTAAAACTTGAACATGAGTCTTGACTCAGGTGGCTTTAAGTGACTAATCGCTGCAAGTGCATTGCGATCTTTGTCAGTAGTTGTTGATTACTTGGACCGACATCGCTGGGGAAATGCATGGCTGCTTGCAGAAACCAGTGCATATTGATAGCTGCTCAACTTCGATAGCAACTGACTATTCCGGTTCGCTCACACACTTATCAGGAGCTTAGTCCAGCAGATTCATTGCAGAATGATTGCAAAACAATGTTACCGCGCGTGATAATGGAATGAATGGCCACCCGGATATTTTAGCAAGGCAACTGAGATAGATGGAGTGATCATATGGATCTATCTCAGAGATCCTTAATAAGAAACAGTTTCAAGTCGCCTTCTGTCCCTTTTGTCTTTCCTCGTCCCATTGTTTGTCTGCAGCCTGTCTTTGATTTCCGGGTTGAACATGATGGTTGAAATGATGGTTCCCTTTTAGAGCGAGCTGTTTCACAACTTTTATCAAGTGGTAATTGCTGACATACACCTTGTAGGGTTGCTACTATCAAACGGTCCTGTGGTAGGGTCGCTACGATCAAACGGTCCTGTCAAAAGATCCTTATGCCATGGAATGAACTAACTAATCGTAGGCGGTATACAAGACAGATACAAAACAACGAGACATTGGTCTGTAATTTTCTTCTCCAGATCTTGTGCGACTCCGCCAGATATTTTTCTCATTCTATTCGTGTGTACCGTACAGCTCAGGATTCAAACTGCATGGGTTTTGAGAATTTAAACCAGAATTTGAAGGGTTGCTGCATTTCGTCTTTCATCTACAAGCTCTCACTGACGGAATAAGGGCGAAGCTACATAAGTTGTCTGTGGACAGCTAGTTCCACTGTGAGTTCTGATAAGGCACCAAAAACAGGTGCACAAGGCGGAGGGAGAACTTTTAAGAAACCGGCCGGACGTTTGCCACCACAATCTAAACTCTGTCGTTTACAGTCACATCCATCGAGATCGGAACAGAAAAGGGGGTCACAAGGAATGTTCCAGAAAGAGTAAACCGGCAAATGACAAATCAGCAGCCCCATGACACTGATCACATTGCCTAACCTGAACCGGAGAGCTCTGAGTAGTTCCGAACAATAAGATATACCTAACGGACAACCAAAGAGGAATTCGGTTACCATCCAAACAACAGGACCCTAATGCATTGCCAACCAGAACAGTCGACAGTTACTTGTCTAAAAAGTGACGGTGCTAATTTGGATGTCTGGAAAATTGACAAAAAAAGGACGGAACTAAGATAAACCGTAATGAGGAATTCGGGTCGAAACAACAAGCACATCCTTACCCGGAATGGAAGCCAAATGGACTTCCATCCAAGAATCACTTCGTTCTGTTCGAATTGAGTCTTCCAACTCCTCTTCATGGGAATGATTTGCAAGAGCTCCTTGGGATTTTTTCCATTCTTGTACCAGCAGATCCTCAACTGCCTGACGTCTCTTCAGCGCCACTTGGGCAGCCATCACGCGTTGCCTTTCCACAATGAGTATGCATTGCTCACAAGTGCAATTTCGGAAGGCGCAGAATTTTTTATGACCTTTTACCCAGGCCACTAAACCATGGTTACGGCATCGTGCACATTTCGGTCGCCTTACGCCAATACGCTCTAGGTGTTCCGGTCGAGATGTATTTGAATGTATCATTCTATTCACTGTTTGTTGGAAGGGAATTGTAGAAACAGCTGGGTCACACCAAGGTGGAGTTAAATTTATGTGCTGATTATCGGAATCTGGAATCTAAATCGCCCAGTGCGGTCAGCTGACCACTTGGACTCGTCCAGTTTTCTTGACCAATCATAGTAGAGCGCGTCACATTTTTCTCCTGGGGCAGAAAATGTGGTAAGCCGGGTGACCAATTATTCTGATTTAGCGCTTGCGCAGTCGCTAACACGGGCCTGGATAATCCTTGATTGGTTGAATCAACGAACTGGTCTGATGGCCTGTTTGGTCATACAAAGCACTCACGTCCCAAGGAGATTTCGTCATGCTAGAACAATTTGCTATAGTCCACTAGTTGATTGATGTCTAGCTTTATTTTAAAGACCGGAGCTCTTGGGGTTTAACTGAATAGACACAGTAGCTACTGTGTGTCTTTCCGCTTCAGCTTACTTAGTTACGCGTGCTCTCAGTAGGTTAGACACTCATTTCAAAAGACCAATAGTTTAATTTTCTGACACTCTCGTAAGCTAGTAACTGCCCGGTGTTTCCAGTAAATCCATTTGATAAATGCATGATCCTCTTTCGGATGCAAAGTACCTGCTCCATTTGCTTTGTTCGTTACTTTGAAGACTTCTGAAAGCACGGTAGATATAACAGTGAATTTTGCGACTTTTCAGTGTCACATTACTTGAACGAAAGCAAAATTTTCCACCTTCAGAACTCATCCAGATCAATAGAGGTTAGTTTATCCTGTTTGCAGATGAAACCAAAACCTTGATGGTTACATTCGCCTTGTTTTCCATAAAACATTTGATTAAACTACTTGCACACCTTAGTCAAGTAGTTTGAACCATACCGCATTTGCGTCACTGACTTCAGAATGGTCTCAAGGAATGGTCTCTTGTCTGCATTGACCGGAGATAAGGACATACACTGTAAGCACTCAACAGGAGTAATTTGAGTATTCTGACGCACGCTTCGCCTCTCCCGCTGTTTGAGCCAGTGCGAGGAAGTCACTTTTCACTTAAGAGACGTGGTCTGCTTTACCGGCGAATAGTCGATCAACCTTGGTTTTAAACGGTTTTAAAACTGTACAGACATAAGGCATTACATATAGAACTGCTGATAACTCTTCGGCAACTAACGACCGGTTTCGCCCCCCCCCCGGGGGGCCAC